TATATATATATATATATATATATATATATATATATATATATATATATATATATATATATATATATTATAACCTGATAACGATATACAAAACAATATAACATCTAGCTGTATTTATAACGACTATAAATGAACATCGTTAGTATTATCTGTGGACAGTTTAAAGTTATCACCGGGTGGGGGACACCAACTAAACGTTTCAAAAATTGCTTTAGAAAAAGGTTTTCTTGAGAATTGTAATAAATGACCCGTCAATTTTGGGGTGGGGGGTTGAATCCAAATTTAATAATTTACTACAAATACTATGATTTTTCCACTTGAATTAATACCTGAGATTTATGCTCATAAATGCTTTTTCTATGTGGATTAATAATATAATGATTTCACAAATTGACGACTTTCGACAAAAAGTTTGGGGGGTGACACCAAAGACACAGCCCATTTAAATGAATTAGGGTGACACCACAATGGACATTTTCAAATATGCATATAATTTAATTAAGCAATTATTATTCAATAGCTTATGTGTGTCTGTGCATGTAAGTGTAAGCGTGTGGAAGAAGATGGCTGACACCAGTAGAACAATAGTTGTACATCTGATTGTGCTTAAGTAGTTGATTTGTTTTCTATGATGTGTGATATGTTTAATGACATAATTGCCCATTGAGTTGGGTTAAAATAACACAAGCACTGCCTTATACGTTTTTTTTATTGTTTATGCAGTTTTATTTTTGTTGTAAACAATAAAGATTTTGATTGTGATGTCCTCCCCCACACCCTTTCCATACACCGTCAACACACATCCACAATTGTCAAAAGTGCTAGTTCCATAAATTGATGATTTGTTGAATTCTCAAGATAAATCTATCTTAGTCGCCAAAAGTCTTCATAGAAATTACAAGCTAGTTAATTAGGCCAAACGGTTTGTGGCTTATTGTGATTTTTTTAAAATTACGAGTTTGCAATAGGTGGTAGAACACACAACTACTACCCCAAAAGTCCCGAGCTCTGATCCCAAGCTCAAAACCGAGAACATCCAACTCAGATGGGTACCTATCTCATATTTTTAAACTAAAGGCGGCTAGGAGTAGATCTAGAACCTATTCAGAATGTCTCCTCCTTTGCAGAGAAAAACTAAATATTATGTGAACTCTATTTTATATTTCCTATGATCACCAGGCCCGAATGGGCAGCTAAGAAATGCATCTAGGAAGTTTTAATCTAAAATAACTAGATCTAGATACCCTATACCTAAAAAACGACTATCCGAAACCTCACCTCCAATAACAAAAATGTAAGGCATCTTTCATACCGTTCTTAATAGCGTAGCGGGTAAGCAAAGACGGTCAGGCATTTTTTTTAATTGATTGCTAGGTTTTGTCCATATTGTTGCTTGTCTGGATGCTTGCGAGATGAGCTAATTCAAAATGTAGACCCTATCTGATGGAATAAATGTCAATTGCTGTGCATTTTTCAAGAGGCGTCTATCATAAACTCATTTGTCAGAATTCGCTTGATGTAGGCCTAAGTGTTTTTTAACTTTAAAATCAACCAATTTTATTGTCATAAGTGAACGCTGTCCACAATATGTCTGGGGAGGAGGTGATGACAGATGGTATCAATACTAACGTGTTTGATGTTTGAAAAAAAAAATGAAATAAGCTTGTGATTCAAATATTAAAATATTGGTTTCCATAGTAAAATAAAACCCAACAATTTTTTTGGGGGCCCCTAAAAATCGGGGGCCCCTGGCTGCAGCCCCCTCAGCACCCCCCTTAATCCGCCACTGCCCTCGACCCCCAACCACTTGTAACCAACCCACCGTGTTATGTAAAGTCAGTAGAAAAGAATAAAAGCACACCAAGAAAGCTGACAGTGCGCACTAGTGTGCACCCTTCAAATTGTTTGATAAGATTTCAGTGAATAGAAGACGTCAGTGTACGTCTGTTTTAATTGAGTTGATATTAAAAAAACGTGGATTTGGGTTAGGGGCGTGGGTTTATCTAATTGACATGTATAATAAAGACGGTATAGATTGAGTGTTTGAAGAGGGAAGGAAGGGGGTGGGGAGAAGTACAAACTAAACTAAATTAATGAAGGTAAATGCAAGGACGTGTATGCTACTTATATAAACTAAACAGGAAAATTTACTAATTTAATGTTGAGTCATAAATTTAACAAAACATAATATTACGTCATTTGTATGTAACCTTTTGACTGTGACGTAGTACACGCGTCAACTCGTCAAGGCTAGTAGGTGACACAATCCATCAAATTACTTCATAGTTCAAAAAAAATTGTTGCGAAACAGCTACATTCTTTTATTTCTTTAAATGCTATGTCCGTAATTTTAAACCACATTTTTTTTCTTCTTATCCAGCTTTTATTGGCTCAGGGGAAAAAGCTAACAAACCGGTTTTCGACCTACGATACTTGTGTCTATCTGAAGGTATTTTTTGATGATCGTGTTGTGTCGTCTGCGGCCTACTACTTAGGCGCGATCTTGTCGGTGAGGTTTGCGGGCAGGATCATAGACAAAACTTGGCTTTTGGGTGAGATGTCAAAGGTCGAGGTTATGTCAGGATTGTGTTGTAGGGGAGGTATGTGGTGTGTAGGTATAGTGTATGTAAGTGGCAGGTGTGTGTATGGTGCAGACACATGGCCGTGTCAAACGTGTATAATGTAGACAGTAGTGGTATGGTGTAGATGTGTATGGTGTCAGGGCCTATAATGCATGGGTGATATGTATGGTGCACGAAGGCGTGAAAGGGTTTATACACTGGGAACACAGGCATCTCTCAAGCTTGACTTGAAAACGCTCTACATATCAATTTTTTTTTAAAATAAAGAGGGGTGAATTACTACAATCTCGACCAGAGTTTCTTCCAGGCATCTCTTCGAAAAAATGTTACCGCCCCCCCCCCCCCCCCTGAACGAAATGAAATTTATATAGAAAGTATACTTTTAACAGTGTCCACCCCGCCCCCTCCCTGAAGAAAGTCTACCGCCCCACCCCCCCCCCCCCCCCCCCCCCGAAAAAAGTCTGGAAGAAACACTGACTGGGAAAGATGACCGCGCTGGTGCATGCAGTGAGTGAAGATGGTTCTTGGTGTTAGCCAAACTCACTTGATAATGGTCTAAAGGCAATATACCAGTAGTGTTAATAACTCACCTTTATGGCTTTAAGACAATATACCTGTAGTGTTAATTAATCAACCAGTTGCACTAATCCCTTTATAAAACATCAAAAACGAATTGTTATATAAACAAGTATTTTTTTATATTAATCATTTTTATTACAAAAAAATGTTCATCAAAAAGTTTATATTTAGACCAAAAAAAAAAAAGAATTAGGGGATAAGTAAATATGGCCGTCAGCAAGTGTATAAAATAAAATGTTAGATCTACAGTCACAAGATACAAAAGATATTGCAAGTTTTGTTAAATTAATTCCATCACAAACTGAGCACATTTGTTTTACACTTGGTCAACATGTTGCTGGGACATCTATAGCATGTAGCACCTCATGTAACAACAACATACAGATGACCACTGGTCAAGCTCACACTAGAACCACACAGATTACCACTGGCCAATCTCACACTACAATCATAAGCAGATGACCACTGGCCAACCTCACACTAGAACCACACAGATGACCAATGGTCAAGCTCACACTACAACCATCTACAAGTGTCTACTGGTCAACCACACACTACAACCATACAGATGACCACTTTGTTAACCATACACTATAACCATACAGATGACCACTGGTCAACCTCACACTACAACCATAAACATATGACCACTGATCAACCACAAATTGCAACTATCTACAGGTGTCTACAGGTCATCCATACACTACAACCATACAGATGACCACTGGTCAACCTCACACTAGAACCATACAGGTGACCACTGGTCAACCTCACACTTCAACAATCTACAGGTGTCCACTGGTTAACCATACACTATAACCATAAATAGATGACCACAGGTCAACCTCACACTACAAACATAAACAGATGACCACTGGTCAACCTCACACCAAGAATCCTACAGATAACCAGTGTTTAACCTCACACCATAACCATAAACAGATGACCACTGGTCAACCATACCTACAGAGATGACCACTGATAAAACATCACAAACATACAAATAACTTCAAGATTTGTGTACGTGGGCCCAGTAAGATTACAAAACAACAATTACCAAAAAAAAATTTCTTTCTACAAGATAGTAATGAATAATTTTTTAGAGAAATTCGAACCCAGTAAAAAATAAATGCTCCTGTAACTGATAGTTTCTTCCTCAGATAAAATAAATCAGTGTTTGATCCACCCCTCAGCATCAGGTTTACAAACAAAAAAATGGTCAGTATGTTACAATGTCAGTATGTTACAATTAAAACAATGACAAGTATCCTAAACTTACAACAGTAGAAAAATAAATGAAAAAGCAAGCAAAAAACTGAAAGTATATCAGCATAGCTGTAGTTAAATATAGTACCCTGCACCTCTATCTTGACTAGGCAAAAACAGAAAATATACCTTGAGAAAAATGACCAGTTTCTTCAAGAGAGTAAACATTTAACCACTCCACCTTCATGATTCAATTACGCAATAATGTATTTAATAATGTTCCCACAAAACAATTCTATATTTTCTAAATATTTGTATGCACAATACATGTTTTCTTGCAAATGATTAATCTTCATCACACAACAATTAACACCCACACAGCTGATAATGTCTGGCAGTACAGAGAGAAAGACAATAAGTTAAGGCAGGGAGGGTGGGACGAGGCAAGAGAGAAATCGTTTTACGTTTGTTAAATCAGCGTTGAGTCTGATACAGAAATGTAAATGTTTTCTTGTCATGATTAAGTAAATAATTTTTAAAATTTTATTGTTTGTCACAGTAAAGTAACAAATTGTGAATATTTTTTTGTCATAGTAAAGTAAAGAATTGTTTATGTTTTCTTGCCATAGAAGTAAAGGAGTGTGAATCTTTTATTTTCAGAGTAAAATAAAGAATTTTATTTTATTGTTTGTCACAGTAATGAAATGTGAATATTTTCTTATCATGGTAAAGTAAAGAATTGTGAATGCTTTCTTGTTTGTCTTACATATAACGGTTAATTGCATTAATTCATTAATGGAGTGCTCTGAATTACAACAGACTACTATCCTAAGTTTTTTTAATTAGATTTGTGTCCTATCTGTTTGACATGTGTCTGTGTCCTATCTGTTTGGAATGTGTCCATGTCCTATCTGTTTGGAATGTGTCCATGTCCTATCTGTTTCCCATGTGTCCATGTCCTACTGTTTATCAGACTTGTGTCCTGTCCTGTGTCTTGATCTCCAGCCTAGAGCCTTACTATCTGATACATCAGAGCTGTCTTTATGCAGATGAGAGAAAATACCCGAACTGCATCTGTTTTTGATTGGCTTAGGTGGCGGGTAAATAGGGCCATTTGGATCCTAATAAAAAAATATTTTTAACTTTTTAAGCAAAAACTACATCCAGTGTTTTAATTTTAAAAAGCAAAATTTTGTTAGTTTAAAAAATCTGCCATAACTTCTGATCATTTAATCTGGCAGATTTCCTAAATAAACATAACACACACAAAAACTATTTTATTTCAAATTTTTTTTAAAAAAGGGAGATAATAACAAGAAAAAAAGGTTGCCGTTAGAAAAGATTACACTACAATTTTTTTTAAGAAAAAAATAACATTGTATAAAGACTTTTGACTAATAATTTTGTAAATTAAAAAATTATTAACTAAATGTGGTTTCGTCAATTTGTAACATGTTCATCTAATTAATATAGTTTGATAAAAAAAAAACAATATTTTCAAACATTGACAAAACATAAATAAACAAAAAACCCTGGCTGACTTACATCTGTCTAAACAAAAAATTTTGGAGTAAAAACTAAGGGTACATACCAAAGGAAAATACAGTACAGTCCCTTGAGATTTCCTCTGGAAAAAAAATGGGTGAGAAACTACTTCAGGAATCAAATAACACTGCAAGGACTCACTCCCTATAGCACAGTACTGCACTGGACAAAGTTTCATACACTTGTCTGAGTGCAATAGTTCAAGGGTCAAAGGGTCAGATAAGTTAATAAAACTTATGGTTGGCACATACATCTGTATAGGGCTAAAGGTTTAAAGATTGTTCCAGATAAAATAAAATACAACTAAGCTGTCTGTATCAGTAAAAAGGTCAAATGGTTAAAACCTTTTAATAAGATAATAATAAATATATTTAGTGTATGCCATTAGTATAAAACAAAGGGATTTTTTTTAGAATAAACCTTAAGAGCGAAAAAGGAAATTGACCTGTTTTGTAGAGCTGCCCATGTTTTCACTTTCGTTTGATTTCAGGGGAGTTTTTCTTTTTAACGTTTTCATTTCGAGCTCTTCAGTTTTTGTTTTTACATGCTTGGGCTGGTTCAATGGACCAGCAGCAGACAGCTGGGAGGAAAAAATGGGAATTTAGTTAGGGCACGGACAAATTTTAAAGAAAATTATTTAAAATATTCAACATTTTATTTTCAATTTTTAAAATATGTGTAATAAAATAAATATATACTAAAGGTAAAGAGTATTAATTGATTCATTTTGCTTCATTCGAAACAAGCATTAAAACTTTTAAAATAAATACTTTATGAAAGATTTTAAACTGTCAAAGTGAAAAAAAATAATTCTTTATAACAAACATTGCAATTTTAAAATTGATGAATTAAAATAATAAATGAATAGGTGAGTAGTCTGAAAAAGTTTTTCTAGATACTGTTTCAGAAATTTTTCACAAATTCATTACAAAAACCTATCTTGCAGATGTAAAAAGAATGAAAGTAGCATTCCATAATTTAAAAATAAAATAAAAAATAAAAGTATAACAAAAGGAGTTAGTAATAAGTCTACCTGACAATCATTTTCCATATTAAATTTCATGTGGCTTAGTCTGTCCCATTGGTATCCTGGGCTGTCTGGCTCACTAGCACAAGACAGAGCATTAGGCAGCACACCAGCTGCAAAGACATGAGATAATCAGACAATATTGGCTGTTGGGTAAGCACAAGATACGTGTACATGCACAGTACTAAAATTTATTTTATAATTTAGCAGGATCACAAAGTCTCAACTAAAAACTGTGGTTATGTATAGAATTTTGTTTTCAGATCAAAGAGGACTAATATTTAGCACAATCAGGACTAATATTCGACTCAATGAAGATTAGAAAAAAAACAAAAAATAATAATAATTCAATACTTGTAAGGAGAAAATGTATCAAACGTACGCAATAGTTCTTTAACAGAGAAGATAGATTGTAGAGAAGTTCTGGATCCTTGGCTAGCACTTCCTTTTGTCAGAGTTGTCTGTGCTTGTGGGACTTGAGTTTTACATGTGGAATTTACTCTGGTTATCCTGAATGAAAGAGACAATACTTTTAAAAAATTACTACTTTGATACTTTTCAACAGTGTAGTTTTGTGTTGATGCAAATTATTCCAATTATAAACTTTGGGTTGTTGATTGCATAAAATTCCTAACCAATATCTACATGATTGTGTATACCACTGGACTACTCACTGAGTAAATGTAGTTGACTTATCTCTGGGTATTGCTCCCCTTGGGCTGGGTGTGCTACTGTCATAACCTGAAAAAAATATTTCATTATTGTATCTATTTTAAGAAAACTGTTATTTTAAAGTTAACTCATACAAAAAAAGGTATTACCTGGAGATTAAATTTAGCTTAATTTTTACATCAAGATGATAAGCATAAAAGCAAATGGACAAAAGTGAAGAAAATGTAAATCTTTAAGACGTACTACCAAGAAAAGATGAAAGAAATAGATAAAACGTGCATTTCAGTAAATAAACAGTCAGACTGAGTCTACTGTCTTAACTGAAGACAGTCTATGTGTCTTACCTTAAGACATTCAACATGTCTTACCTTAAGACAGTCTACATGTCTTACCTAAAGACAGCCTACATGTCTTACCTGAAGACAGCCTGGGTTTGAGAGCCTGACTAGTTTGGGTTGCACAAGAATCTTGGCTGCTGACTGAGACATCTCTGGCTGTTGAAAACAAAATATTCAATCTTTGAAACCAAATTTGTTATTTTGTAAACACTAGTCATTATACCCTACCATCATGGGGTTCTTGACTAATCACTGACACTTTCAAAACAATATTAGCAATTAATTTAACCTCACTAATTACATTTCTAATAAATCTTATCCCATGTCACATTACTGGACTTACCTAAAAACAAATCTTATCCCATGTTATAGAAGTGTTACACTCTGATTACTTCACTTACCTAAAGTTGTTGATTTCTTCTGTCTCACAGTATCACAATAGCATTCATGACTAGCCGTCTCTTTCTGTTTTTGCACCAGTTCTCTAAGGGCTGTTTTGAGTCTTGTCACTTCTGATGCTTTTGTTTGAACAAGGAGATCACTTAAGACGTGTTACAAGATCCAACAACAAACTATATGATAAGACTCGTTAAGTAATTATTTAAAGGTGATCTTGAGTGACATAGTTGTCACAGCAGTCCAAATACATAGAGAAATATTTTAAAACTATTTTAAATGACAGCAGGCATTTGAACACTTACCATTACTCCTGCTCTCTTTCTCCAGTGCTTCGTACTTGACGCTGATGTCCTTGTGTTTAGCAATATAGGTGTCCATTCGCTTTTTCATCTTCAGGTTTGTGTCTCTCTCAATCTTTAATGCCTCAGCTAAACTGGAGTTTGTCATTTTCAGTGTTTCGCTGCTATGTTCTTGTTTTGCTAACTGCTCCTTAAGATGTTCTACTTCAGACTTTATTTTTTCCAGCTGTTGAAAGTAAATTGACAATAATTTATGTACTTGCAAATAATGCATAAAATTATAAAACTTATTTTCTAAATTAATAAGATTTAAAAAAATTTTTACCTTTTCCAATAGTTGCTCTTTTTCCTGCCTAGTCTCATCAAGTTGACAGCGTAATTCTCCCACCTGTATATCAAGTACTACGTCCATTGTCTCCCCTTCACCTGTTCATATAAATAGCAGAGTTTTATTTAAGTTAATATAGGTTGCAAAATGCATTAAAATTAAAGTAAACAGTAGAAAGTGGTAAGTTACTTTATGTTAGCTTTAAAAATGCAGTGTCCTTTTTATAGTTTAAAATGAAGGTAATTCATACATAAATTGTGGAACCTTTTTCTCCAAGCCTATTGTTATAATACATTAAAAAATCTAATTGTTATAATGAATAACAAGCGACTAATTAAATGATGGCAAAAACTACATCTATACTGTACATAAATATTGCATACTTTCATGTTTTAACTTTACAGCCTATCTTCAAGTTCTACTATATCTAATAACTTGTAGTATTCTGTACCGTCATATTTTAAATCTAGAATTGGTCTAAGTTCTTTATTATATTTGCTCTTAACACCCTACCAAGTTTTCCCAACTCAACTTAAAATATTCTGTACCTTCATGTTTTAACTGTAGCTCCTCTAGAGTTTGTCTCAGTTCTTCATTTTTCCCTCTCGCCACCTCCAAGTTAACTAGCAAACACTTCTTTTCTTCATCCCACTTAGACCTGGCATCAGACAGTTTATTGAAGGCTTCAATTTCCTGAGCTTTTAATCTCTCATGCAGTGTATCTGTTGTGGTTAGTTTTTTCATTTCACCAATTTCATTTTCAAGACCGGCAATCTATAAAACAAAATAAGGCTATGTACATAGAAGTAATATACTTGATTTACACATAAAATTTTATAAAAATGATATTAATATAAACAAAATATTATAGCAGTTTTAAATACCAATTAAGCTTTCCAATACTAAAATCTTACTCTTAGCCTTACTTTAAGCTTCAGGCTAGAAATTTCTTCTGTACTTTTTACATAATCTGTTTCAAGTTGCTCACATAGTTCTTTGTATCTCAGTATGGACAACTCCTGTTCTTTTAATCTGAGTTAAAAGATCATTATTTACATTTCAGTAAAGTACATAACATTATCAATCTAACAACATATTAAATTGTGAATACTGATAGATCCATGGCTATCAAGGATACACTTAGTTGTAGATATATTTAATACATTTAATTGACAATGTGTTATTTAAAAGTAATTTAAATAATGTGTTTTATAATGACAGAACCAGCTAAATAATTCTTTTATCAAAGCCCATAATGATAACTTACAAATCACATTTCATTTCTTTTCCTGTTTCTTTCTTATCTTGAACATCGGAAGCAGAGTTTAACATCATCTTTAATTCAGCCAGGTTCTCACGTAGGTGGCTGATTTCTACATCTAAAAATGTTAAAGGGACATTTGAACACATAGTGCAATATTTCACAGTGAAAACTAAATGCTTTAAATGATTTACCTTAAACAAAACAATCTTTTACAGATACTATTATCATCAAAACATAACTCACCTTTAGATTGCAGCTCCTGTAATTTATCCTGAAGTGCAAATTGTGTTTCTTCCTTTAATAAAATCTCCGCATTCAATTTCTCTCTCAGTTTTCTTAAATCCAAATCCTTTTTCTTCAAAAGAGCCTGGAATAAAAAATCAGAAACAAAAGTAGATACAGCATTGCATTGCTTCAACTATATCTAGTTCATTTACTAAATATATCCTTCCATTCATCAGGCAAAAAAAAAATTGTTACTTATTAAAAAATACTGCATTTGAGATCTTACATTAGTAATAACTTAAATGCAACCTATATAAAACTAATATACTATTTATACTCAAGCACAAAAATATTTTAATAATTTAATAATTTAACATACTAACCTTTTGAATAAACTGTGGGGATTTTGTAAAGTTAATGAGGGATGAAGGGGTTGAAGGAGACTTGATATCAAGTGCTTTAAAAGGACTTGAAAGATCATTAAATTGCCTATGGAATCCAGATATTCTTTGTTTGTTTGGTGTATTATCTCTGTCACATAGATAAGCTGGTGAGAATGATTTCTCATCATTTTCGTAAACTTCATTGCAATATACATTATTGTCAGGAACTGAAATGAAAAAAAAAAAAATTACGCTCTGAATGCCTAAAAGCTCACGTCACTGATCTCTCTTGTTTTTTGCAATTAAACATTTTATTACCTTAAACATGACATGGTTACAAATTTATCTCAAGAATAAATTTTTTAAAAATGTTAACACTGAATAATATTCCTTCATTTAAGCAATCTAAAAAAGATGATGAACATCCCTACCATGAGATGCTTTCAACACCTCTTCTATTTTATCTGTCAACATAACTTCAGTAGAATCAGGTGTCAGGACACTCTGTATCAGGGCAAGCACATCTTCCTGTTGCTCATTAGGAAGCTTCAGAGCAGATTCCATTAACAGCTTGCCATTCAAACTTAGCACGCCAATTCCAAGCAAAACTACCCCTATCTTAAAAAAATGTAATTCATTATTTGATTGCAAAACTTATAAAATTATTTTAAACTGAAATTAATGTTACTAACTGAAGTAAAATAAAACCAGCAAGTTGTAAATCAAAGCTAATGTATGAGCAAAATATTTAAGTCTTACTTTGGCCAGTTCTATCTTCCTCTGATCTTCTGTAACCTCAGTCTCACCAAGCAGTGACGCAAAGTTCAAGTACTTGGTGATGTCAACATTCTCACCATAAAATTCTTATCAATCAAATTTAAGTGAAAGAGAGCATTATTTAATGAATATACTACTGATGTACACATGTTTGCAATCAAAACTTCTAAATATTTCTTATGGTAGCAGAAACTAATTATTTTGATAATTTTGCAGTGAAATTAGTTGGGCATATTATTTACAATAATAATATTGTAGAAAAATCTTTTTATAAAAATAAATGTTGGAAATTAAAGACCTTGCAAATAGTTCTTTACATATTGAAGTCTGTCATCATATGAATCAACATGAGCTAAATCAGCCTTAGGTTCCCTATAATAAAAAAAAAGTTTAGATAAACAATAGGCCTAGTAGGCTTAAGTTAAACTAATGAAAAGAAGCACTTAGAAAAAAACTGACATAAAGGTGAGAATAGTTAGGCCTATAGTCTAGTTATACTTGCAAATAATTTTTTTTACAAACTTACAACATTTTTAGAACATGCATGTAAAAAAAGCCATCACTCAAATCAAGGATCGAGTTGACATCCTTTTCCCATACTGAGCTTATCTGGTTACAAAAAAAAAAGAAAATAATATTTAAAAGATTAACATGTGTCATGTAGGGCAATAAATTTGAATAATAATAGATTTTTTGATAGACGTGTATACTTAGTATACACTATAGTCTATAGTACTATACTGAGTACCACAGAAACAGCTTTACAATCTATATGATTCTATTGAATCGAACATAAACTTAAGGCCGATTCTAGCCGGAAAAAGATATGCATGAGCAATGGAGAGAAACTATGATGTTTTCAATATTACTGCGCATGCATGTGTTTACAAACCCAGAACCCTAGCCCTATCCCTAACCCTAGCCGGGAGCCGGACATAGCCATAACCGCATAGTGCATAACCCTATCAGCCCTATCTCAGCTATTAGGCCCCTAATTATTATAATTAAGGTCACTGCGCATGCACAGAACTATCTTTGCCGACCAAGTGGAGACGCTGGGGCGAAAAATCTTTTTTCGAGTAGCCTAGTCTCTTCATAAACTTAAACATTCATTTTCAAACTTCATCTTCTGACGCAATCCCTGCCCTCTGATTGATTTGATTTTTTTGAAAATGAAAACTTGAAATTTGAATACACAACAGTGACAACAAGTCAACAACACAATAATTCACAATATCATTATCACAGACAATCAAATTTAATATCATGTTTTGTACTCACAAATTTTAAAACTGCCAATTCCTTTCTAAAATCCATTATTTATCACAGTAGGAAAAAACTGAAAAAAAAAATCAGTAGGCCTAAGTCCCCTAAGTTAAATACTGGATCTAGATTCTAGATCTAGATCTAGATTCTAGACCTAAATTAATGTTTACGAATAAAATTGAAGTTTACCACCATTGTTTATTAAAAATATTAACTTTTAAAAAGTGCTACTTATCCCTAACAGAACAAATCACACGACTTAAAAATATTCAGAAGATGAAAAATAATATTCTAGATCTATCTAGATCTAAATTAGATTCTAATTCTAATCTAATTAGTTCAATAATTAGTCTAGCAGGGTAATTTTTGTCTTACATTTAGATCTAGATTCTAGATCTAGATTTAGATCAAGATATGTAATTTTTTAAAATTTGATCTAGATCTAAGTACCGCCATCACAACTAAACTTTGGCAAATATTAAATTCTTGTGGTAAAAAATTATGTCACGCTCCTGAGGGAAGAGGCTTTGTAATTTTGTGATGATGAGTGATGCGGAAAGGCGGGGGGGGGGGGAGGGGTCATATAATGTTTTTTTTTGTCAATAATTTAGAAAGAAATCAAAGTTTATAAAAAAAATTAAACTGCACATTAGGGGGGGGGGGGGGATTGCAGGCTGAAGTGTGATGTCATTTTAGAGGTGGGAGGGGTGTCTGGCTTTTTGTGTCGATGACGTGAAAGGGGGGGGGGGGGAAAGCTGGTTGACGTAATTTATGGAAGACCCCTAAAAGCTATTGTTCAATAATTGAAGATATGTGGTATTCATTGTCTGTACACGTGAGACTTTAGCTATTGCTATTTAGTCGTCTCAGAAATAACAGAAATTTGAGCTTAGACACACCCATCCTCTTGAACCCTTGATGGTCATACCGATAGATGTACGAAAGAAACAATGAGACCGATCTCTTTAAATAGTGTAGGTCCACATCGGGTGGTTGTGGTGTGTGTGTGGGGGGGGGGGGGCGGGGTGGGTTTGTCCGAACGTGTAAACAAGGGAAAGGTGGTCTAAAATTCATTTTTTTAAAGTTTTCATAAATGGATGAAAACTTAGCTTAATAAATTTAAATAAAATAATACCAGTCAAATTTTGCCAATATAAATAAAATGTCAATTTTATTCCTTTTCGGTTAATATTTTATCTATTTATAAAACCATAGTAATATTACATAATACTTTCTGATAGGACTAAAGGCATATAATATTGAAGCCATACAAAATAAGAATAAGTGTTGATTTAGTAGACAATTGATAAAATCATTATTAAATAAACCGGTAGTGATCTCCCCTAAACTTTCTCGAATATTCTTATATAAAACAACAGGGGATGGTAACTGGGGATATAGTTATGATCTTTAATCCATTTTAAATACTGAAACTTTTAAAAATAGAATAGAATCTCAGTAAAAAACAATTGCGAACCAAGCGAACGCCTAATAAAGGTGTGTATAATAGTGCGCAATAGTATTAGTACTTTATAAATTTACATTAGTTTTTTGAGAAATCGGAAGTAGCGTAAAGTACTACTTCCGGTCAACGGAAATTACTCAAAATTTAACAGAAGGTAGAGAATTAGATCTTTTACTTACATGTGAAATTTCATTTATCTATCTGAAATAGTACTCAAGTTATAGGCTTTTGAAAAATTCAAAGTAGAAAAAGTACCACTTCCGGTTATCCGAAATCGCTCAAAAGTTGATACGGATCTACGATTTTGATATAATACTTGTATATGAAATTTCATCAACCTAGCTGTAACGGTACTCAAGTTATCGTGTTTACACACGGACACACACACACACACACACACACACACACGGACACACAGACATACGGACAAGATTGCAAAATTATGTTTTTCCGTATCAGTGAGATGTAAAACGTCGAGATTTGTAAAAATCTCGATTTTTTTTTTTTGCACGATTACAAGACTTTCTCTATACTTCGTATATACGAGAAAGTAAAAAGGGATATTATTTCTCTGTCATTTTACGTTGTGGCAGACATTTAGAGTTTACAATATCGTCATAGTTACAGCGTCATGGCGTCTACTTCTCGGATGAGGTTGGTGAGTTTTTTATTATTGCTTATTAAATGAAATTAAGTAAGCTTGATCGTTATATTTATAAGACTACAACACGGTTCACTTCAGTTGATATTAAAACCTACATTTGTAGTTTAAAAGTCCTTGTAGCCCTAATTTCAGGATTATTTTTTATTTATTTAGGCCTATTTGGCATTACTATTTAGTATTTACTATTTAGTTTAGTATTTAGCCAAATTTTAACAATTTTATTTTTATTTTTAGCATCATTCTATTTATTTTTCTAGACACAAAATGAAAAATTGAAATATAAACTAAGTTAAGTAGATCTAGTTCTAAATCTAGTAATAAGTAGGCTAGATAAATAATAAAATAGTAATATGCTATAATATAGGCTAGGCAGCAGGCCTAATATTAATAATACATAGTAACTTTATAAGTAACTATATAGTATTACTATTACATAGGCCTATCTAGACTTTTAATATAATTGAATTGATTTAACTTAGTTAAATCAATAATATAAAATATTATAAAAAGCAAGTTAAATTTTAACCATCACTATGCTATTGAGTATTAACTCTGGTATTGAGTCCACTGCTTGTAGATCTACTACACTTTTAAAATTACAAATTACATCTCTGTTGAAAATAAAAATTATTGGCATCGCCTTTCAGATGTATTTATAGTTAATAAATAATATTTATAAATAGGCCTATAGTTCATTTTAAATCTTTTACATTTATGAAGCATAGATAGATTAATATGAAAAACATTTGTTTCGATGTCATTTGTTACTTCAAACTTAGTGTATATTTTATCTGATCACTGGCTGGTCAAGGCTGAATCCTTTTTCTTTCAGAATCCTATTCAAATGCCTGTCTTTCTTTGTTCTTTAGACCTTTTCATCATCATCATTATTCCTTAACTTTTATTGTGGTCGTTGGGGCACCACAGTTGATCTTATAATTCCCCAACCATCCTCTTCTGCTGTGATCAGTTCTGAGATTAGCTGCCCCATCTAATCTTTGATGTCATCCTTCCAGTGTCATCTTTGCCATCCCCATTTTTCTCCCTCCTGGCATATAGTGCCTTGCAATATTGTTTTGGATAGGCAGTTTGATATTGATATTGTGATATGCCCAGACCAACTCAGGATTTTTACTATGCTAAGAAGACTCTCAAAGGGACCAATAGTATTAGTGATTCTTTGGACCATTTTAGCTATTCATTTTCTTTTTCCAGCATATTAGATCATTCTAGTGATTTTAGCGTACATGATTTTTATCTTTTGATCCATACACTAAGTTCCATTCGAAAGCACTTATAAGCTTATACATTAATGCTCAGAATCTTATGGCTGAGATTTCTATTTGAAAAAATGGCAACCACATAGCAAATTTCACAAGTGTCTGTTGATGATGTCAGTTGTTTCTCTGTGAATTCTTGAACTTTAAAAAAAGTATTTCAAAATAAGTTGTTCTTTTATTTCAGTGTAGCTGTACAAGATGCAAATGCACAGAAGAAACCAAAGTTAACAGAGATAATCCCCCCTCTTGATTTTTCATTTCTTCATTTAGGAAGTTTAGAAGGTGACTATTTTATTTACATACTAGCTTAGGATTAAGGAAACTTGTTGTTCATTTTAAAGTGTTGTTTTCATTTAATATGCATGTAAACTAGAAAATAATGCATCTGCCAAACGGCAGGTAATTTACTAAAACTGGAGTCAACTTCCACTTCTGCATGAGATACTGTTAAAATATCAGTTTAATTGTGTACCATCAGCTATTCCTAGATACCAAATCTGTAATTTTCAAATTAGAACTGGAGTTATTTGGATGGTAACAATGTCTGTAAGACTGATCACATTTGTAACACTGATCACCTTCCTCAAGGGGTGTTCGTAGATTGCTAGTGTGAGCTACCAGTTACAGCAGGGGCATTGAGTGCAGCCACAGGTTCATTTTAGTCATTGTCTATAGTAGCTTAGTGTAGGGCGCTCTTTAAAACAAATGTAAGTATTAATAGAATTAATAGGACGCTTCAGGTCACATGACCCCCATGCACCATTGAGGACATGCATGGTGTAGTTTGACCATTGATGTTAGTAGTACCTCTGCCGTCAGGGCTAAACGCCCATCAGCAAATAAACTTGTGGTGCCCAACTGCACACTAAAACTTGGGCAACACAACTCAAATATTCTTTTTAAATTTATGCCAGAAACCTTAACAGGAGTGTGTTTAACTTCCATAAGTATCTTAGAAATTGGTTGAATGATGTAGTATAAAAAGTATAAATAATAAAAGACAAACACATTTAATTACAATCACATATAAATATATATAGGCCATATATATATATATATATATATATATATATATATATATATATATATATATATATATATATATATATATATATATATATATATATATATATATATATATATATATATATTATATAATGTATTACTTAGATGTTATGAAAGAAAACACTGTAAATCTTCTAGGGGTAATTTTAATTTAGTTTTTTAACTATTGCAGAATGTGAAAAAGAAGAGCCCAGAGATTTATCTCCTCACAAAGCTCTAGTTAAGAAAAAGTCAACTACACAGACAAAAGAAAAGTCTCAGAGCTTGGGTTTAAAATTAAACAACAATACCCTAAAAGAAATCAGCAATCTTGTACCCCTAGCCACCAGCTTGTTTGATAATGTGGCTAACATAAGTTGGATTGATCTTTCCTGTAATTTTCTATCTATTATAGATCCTGTAAGTTTTTTTTTCCTTTCATATGTTTTTCTAATGAGTTTTTGTAAGATTGAAAAGTTAAGAAATAAATCTATTTCATAATTAGCTGTTCAAAATTGAGGCAATCCAAGTAAATGAAGATATAAGAAATCTCAAGATATAAACAGCTGTTTTAGTCTTCAAAACTTTATCAAAAGAGGCCATACTTAAAAGGGGCTACAAAATAAATAATAATATAAAAGTAATTTGGAGTTATTTGCCAGTTTTTTTAAAAATATTGTTAGGTGTAAGCCTAAATATTAAAATAAAAGTAAATAAGGCTTCATTATATTGGGGAGTTCATTAATAAACATTAGCTTCTGTTTTGTTTCTGAATGTTTCTAGAAAAGCAATTTTACACTAATTAATAATGAAATTATGTGTATTTTTTTTAAATATTAAATAAAGAATTGCATATTGTTTATATCATCCATACACTTCTATTTATTCTGGTGTAGACAAAAAAAATAAGATTAATTATTGCTAGTTACCTCCCTTTCAGGTACTCACCCAGTTTGAAAATCTGAAGATACTTTACCTTCATGGGAACAGTATAGCTGAAATGAAGGAAGTCAACAAACTTTCTTCTCTTCAAAAGCTGTGGAAACTAACATTGCATGGGAATGAAATTGAAAACATTAAGGTAACCATAGGCTATGATAAAAAGATAATCTGTTGTTTTTCTTCCTGTCACTGTTTTTTTTTTTTTGATGTAGTTAAACAGTGTTTCTTCCAGGCATCTCTCGGGAGAGAAGAGCCCCCTAAAAATATCAAGTGCGCCCCCCCCCCCCTCCCTTCCTTCGGAGAAAAGTCTGGAAGAAACACCAGTTAAATACAATTATTTAATGTTATTTAATGATAAAATAACATTTTATTCTGCAGGGTTACAGATTTTTTGTGTTGGCTGCACTTCCCAATCTAGTCAGCTTTGATTTTAGCACGGTAACCAAGGGCGACAGGGTCACTGCAGCGACTTTCAAAAGCTTCTACGGATCAGACAAAAAGAAACAAATAAAGAGAGAAAGTTGAGGGAAAGAAAGAAATCATTTTCAGAAGGAGGACAATGTTTACTAGAAAATCACCATCATCCTTGTTTAACTTGAAATTTAGCTGTCTCAAAAATTTAGATGGCCTGTTACATCAGATATTGACAGCAAATTAATAAATTGAGCCTCAGTTGTTTGTTTTTAGAGTTACAATACAACAGTAAACATCAGGTAAAATAAGCTATATTCTGTTTTTATAAGTCTGTACACCATTGTTTTACTTGTGTTTCAAGACCTTATGAGTAGTTGTGAGAAGCAAATTGTTTGGTGAACTCATGTAAATAGGTTATTGTTATTTAACATGAAGCTGTTAACTGTGTAAATAGAGCCACTATATATATCTTATGCTGTCATAAATAGTTTTTTTTTTTAATTGTATTCATCCAAAACATAAAAAGTAACCTTTCACATTGTTTAGTACTAATATAAAATGTGTATAATAGGGAAAATGAGGATTATAACCTCTTTTTTAAAAGTTCAGGGGTTACAATTGGAAAACTAAATGAAAAAAAATATTGAAGGAGACTTCAAAAAATTGTAAAACATTTAAGTGTTTGATTGCAATAAAAAAATTATTATACCTAATTGTCAGTTATATTTTGGTTACTTTTGATTTCATTGCTGATCACTACACCTCCCTTTCCCTTTGGAGGAATGTTTTAGTATTTTGTTAATAAGGTGAGGATGGGTTTTTTTTTAAATTTACAAATAAAGCTTTAGTGAACTGGACAATGCTTATTGTTCATATTTAAGAGTTTGAATTGTTTTGGATTAGACATTAATCAAATCGATTTGAATAACATGCCAACTTAATAAGTTAATCAAAGCAGGATGCTCTATGAAGTACTTCAGCAGAGGTCTGAAAGAAACTCTGATGTTAAGTCATCTATCCTGCCCTATAATAAAACCATCCATGTATATAATTATTTTAAAAAATTAGACAAGAACTTCACAAGTAAATTACAGAATTTATTTATTTAAACTACCATCAAAAGTAGTTCTTTCTCTAGATACAATACAGATGAATAAAAGTGAATTGAAAAGTATAGCCAACACAGGCGCTACCTCTCAGCAGCCCACCTACATTACTTATAACACTTATACTAGCAATTACATGTTGAGACAGCACTACACACTAAAAAAAAATATGCTTGTATTACAATGACCAGTACCTGGAACAAGCACACAGTTCCCATACATTCCCTGTATTTGGATTGCAATCAACACAACAAACTGCGCTTCTAACACTGACTCAATGTTCAACACTCACTTCATACTTCTCCAACATTGGTTGAGACACAGTTTATTAAAATATAGTGGTTAGAATAAAGTACATATATTGGAAAGTTCCTATTGACAATTTAAAGGAAGTAAAAAAAATACTTAATATCATCACATCATATATAAATATATGCATACACACATATACATACAACAAACTTTTCTGAATAAGTTCATAAATACACAGGTTCATATTTGAAAATGTATGATTTTACTCCCAAAATCAAAGGAATTGGATGAATCCTTGTCAACAAGTGCTAATAGCTAGAGATCAAATCTAGAGGGTCCTTGGCTTGAATGGTATCCAAATGTATGACAGATGTCAATGTTTCTAAAAACCAATACTGGAAAAGACATATGCAACATTTCTAGAAACTTATAACAACTGACATCTAATATTATCAAAAAGACAACTGTCTAATTATTTTACCCATTAATTTTACCAATTATAACAATTTTACCTATTAAAATAATGAAACGTTTTCTGTATCATCATTGAAACAGATTAAATCAAATCATGTGAATGTGCTATTCAAATTAAAGTACCTCCATTAATTTAAAGATATTGTAACAATTTAAATTTATTACAATTAAATCTTCTATTGTTTCATTCAGCTTATAAGATACAGCCACTGTGAATGGAGTTATAGTTATATGTTCACAATCGGCTTAAGGATATAAAACTTCAAAGTTGCATTTTGACTGACAAAAATCTTATTGATTGCCACCAAGTTTAAGTCAAAGACCCTCTTTTTTTTTTAATTAGAAACATAACAAATTACTGAGCAAATCTGCTAGGGTATAATGTTAAAAATAAATATAGATCACTGATTATTCTGACAACAAAGTATAATAACTTATATGGCTTATAAAAGATAAACACTTTAGACATCATTACAAATATATTCAAACTTTAATGATAATACATATTATTATATTTCAGAGCATCTCTATTATCATTTCTGAAATAATTTCTCATCAAATTGGTTTTAAACTTCATATTGGTAGATAATGGAAAGTTGTTTTTACTATCATGACATCATCCTAACAGCAATTGTATTTTAACTGATTTAATTAAAATGAAAGTAATACACCTTACTTAATTAAAATAAATGCACTACACCTTTCTTAATTAAAATAAAAATGATATTCCTTTCTACAAACTGATCAGCTTTGTTCAGTAGGCTCTACTTCAGGACAGCAAGAAAGAAATAAAACGGTGCAGGACTTTGGGGAAATAGTTGACTATCAAAGATTTTAAAAATTGAAAGAAAATAATTACAAGGACTCAACTTTTTAAAAATTGATGAACTGCAAAAAATAAATAAAAAAGCTTTTAAAACGTTGGCAATTTAAGATCATTATTCTAAAAATAAGACTAAAGATATTGACTCCAAGATTTTAGGTACTAACACCATTCAAATACTAGTTATGGCATTGGTGATATAATTATAATGGAATACATTTTTTATAATAATGGATTATTTCCATAGGACCCAGAGATGATGAAGTTGTACGAAATAATTGATAAACACTTTTTTAAAAAACATCAAGAAGGTTTAATATTAGTAAGTTTCATTTGGGTGAAGGTAAATATTGTTCAAGCTCAGCTACTTACTTCAAGCTTGATTGCGTGTTAAATATAATTTAAAATCAGGTGATAACTATAGTCTCTTTGCAAAGTAAAGGTTATTGATACAAATTCTTCATAATTTTTAAATCACACAGCAGGAAAGTATTTCACAAATTTTAAAATAATAAATTTATATGATAAATCCCACTTTTCATAAGCTCAACATCTTACACACCAACAGTTACATAATAATATGCATAGTTTTAAAAGATGATTCAAAACTAACTGCAAAAAATTTGTTCCAAATATTTCAAGTAAACATTTAACATACACGCTTATACATTTTGTGATGTTAATTAGTAATGCTACATTTTTTAATGTGAGATGACATCAATAAGAATCTCTAGGCATGATGACCAGAATTATACAAAAAGCTAGTTGTTGAGCTAAATATTTAAACCAAAAATTAAAGCCATAAAATAATAGCAATTATTAGTAAGAAATAAAATGCAGCCTGCTAAGTCTCTATTAGTATATATTAAGTGACCACGGTCTGATGTTTGGGTATTATGAAAAAGAGGGAATAAAATGGATATGTGTTGATAAAGCCTATTGAAATGCTCAAAGGGAAATCCCTCTTATATCGAAGCCACTCTCCAAAGAGAAAATAATTATGCCCAAATATAATGATGACAGATTTTTTATATATATTATAACAGCTACCAAAATGGGTTTTCTTTCAGTGCTCCTTAAAATTATGTACATTAGTTTTTAAGAGAGAAAAAACTAAGTGAGAAACTTGAATTATTTAAAAGCCTCAACAGAGGTATAAGTTTGTATAAGGATCAATGTTCATGTGACTGAACCACAATGTTAGTTTGTTATAGATTTACAAAAGGCATGACAAAACCAGTTGTTTTAAAAAAATAATCAACATGACCACGACAAATATTTGAAAAAGTATTAGTTTTCTTCCAATGGCTTAAACATAATTCAGTAAAACATAAAAAATTGTGATTTAATTTTAAAATAAAGCTAAAATCTATAGGCATAAAAGGTGTGTCTACTATATTTACCAAATAAACATAAAACTACAAAGAAGCAATACTAAACATTGTTAACGGGAACAACTGCAAATATAAATCAGAAACACAAATCAGGTTTAAAAAAATTAAGTGAAAGAATGGACTATGATGAGAACATCAGACATGATCATCATATACTTGTCCTTCATCCACATTGCCATAGTCAAATTAAATTATAACACTTAAACCCTAAACCTAACCCACTGCCTTAAACCCTAGCTTTAATATACCCTTAACAACAATACTTATGATCTGATTATGGTCGTATGGCAAAAGGACAAGTAACCCCATTCAAACCTGGAAGCTCTATCTAATGAACAAGGAATGGCTGACATTTTGAGAATAGGTAGGCATTCTGGCTAAAAATAAGCCATCGCTTCGGTCATTTTTTTTTACAACTGTTAAAAATTTAAAGTAAACTTTTTATACCATAATCAATCGTATTGCTTTTATACTCTTTGTTCATCAAGAAAATAAATGAAACAAAATAACTGATAAAAAAACACAATCATTTAAATGAGTACAACCCTTGACAATCAAATAAACACAAAACAGTCGAAGTCCTTTCCATATCTTTTAAAATTTAATTTGGTAGCGGCCTTTCCGAAACCTTTCTTGAGATACCAGTCCCAAAGTTGACTACATTATTGCACAAGACAAGGCTAAATGTGATGTTGTTTGGTCTGTTGTCTCCAACAACCATTTGTAAGTTTCATCAGCTCAGTTGTAAGAAATGGATTTTAAAAAAAAAAGTTTCATCACTCTGATGTGGTCTTGTATCACAAGGTTACCTCCCCTTATTATAAAAAAAAAGCACCACTGATCTATCACTCAAGCCCCAGGCCCCAGTTGATGACCTGCACGATGCCAATGATCACTGGTTGCCAAGCAACTAAATATCTGATCCAGTCTAACAGATTGCCATACATAACATGAGGCCGCTCCCATCTGGAGTGTTGTGTTAAGAAAAGTTTCAATGTTTGCAGAAAAAACAAAGTGTAGAAAATGTCATGTTCTATAGGCAAAACAAAAATTAGGGTTAATTTTTTTCATTAGTATCAATTTACTTTATCATAAAAGTCACATTTATCAATCAAGTATAGTTGGGATATGTTTTGCTTTAAGATGATTTACATAAGAAATTAATTGCAAGTCCACTGGTAAGAATATGTCTGGTTCGTTAAATTATGATCTAGAATTATAAATAGATTAAATATTATTTTTAAAGGAAATAGAGCCTAAATTTTTTTTAGATTAAAATGTGAAACTAAATTAAGGAGCTATCAACTAACAAACACCTTGTTTTTTTAAACTGCTAATGAGTTGGAAAAATAATACATTCCATTAGCAGTAGCTTAAGGTCAGTTTACCTTCTCGTGAAATAGCAAACAAAAATGAATTCTTATAGAAACGACAGTAAAATAATTTTAATAGTCAAGGATACGGCCCAGGAAACATGCGCTTGAGGTCGACCTTCTCCTTGCAGTATGGACAAGTCTGTTTTTTTCCTACAATGCACCAACCACGTATACAAAATTCATGAAATCTTAATATGCCAGTCAAGGAAATTTACAACAGATTTCTGAAAGACTGCCTAAAGGATAAATTAAAAGTTGTTATAATTAATAATTTTTAAATGATCCAAAACTTAAAATCTTTACCTAACTCTAAATTTGTAATATAATTTAATTAATAAACAAAATCTATTGTTGATACTATATTTCTAAAGAATACAGTATCTAGGCATACTGTTTTAGCTTCACATATATTTTGGCAGAGATGCTTGAACCCTAACCTAGTCTTACAAATGCAGATTTAATCTACATGTTTGCATTTACCCTCAGATAGACTGTAAGTTGGCTAAGAAATGTACCACATTTAGGATTCTTTTTTATCTTATAAGAAAACTGTCAGAATAAAATAATCCTCAACTAGTGTTTGGCTGTTGTCAATTGTGAAGCTTAGGGCCACATGAAACTGTGCAGTAATTGCAATTATAAATAATAGCCTCCATAATACAAAGCAAGGAGCTGCCATATTTTAGAAAGCTTACAATGATGATTGGCTAGGCTTAGATCAACTGATGATTAAATTCATCAAAAAAAGATACACATGGCCACAATTCAGTTTGATGGATTTTTCAATAACGGCGTTATCGTTACTGATCATGAAGATTTCATTGCCACATACAGCACACATGTTGGAGTCCAGATGTTTGGCTGGCAAACCAGTGCTGGAGTAATACTGCAATGGGAAACAGTTTTAAGCAAAAATGTAAACAAACAATTTTTCATTTCTGAAAGGTAGCAAAATATTCTCTGAATGAATAGTTTCTTTATCAAACACACAAAGATTATTAATTACAATATTAGTAACTAACAATAAAATAATTCTAAAACAAATTGTATCAATTATGTAGCAATTTCGTTTCCTTGTAATTGTAATTGGTCAATAATAGAGCACCTGACAGCAAACCCACCAGTATGAGTTTCAGATCCTATAGTCAAGTCTGTAGAATGTCCCTGAGTAAACACAGGTCTGACCGGTAAAAAAAAGCAAAAGCTGCTGGGCATAGTAGTGACAACAAATATTCTTCAAATAATGAAGTCACAGAAACAAGTGAACTCTACTTCATCTAGCTAATTCACTTTCAGGTCTGAAAGCGTCATTGTTTTTTTTATAAACCTAATAATAATAACTGGGATTACCCAGTCAAAAGACGGGCTTTTCTTTAGTTCAATGTTTCACTAACTGATAAAGTATACATTAATTTGAGTAAAACCTGATGGATAAATTAGGTTCACTTATAATTTAGACCATTCCATGATAGAATGTTTCTAGTTTGACTTAAATAAAATTCAAGAAAATGTTACCCCAATGTGAGCTGCCATGGTATCAGCACAGACTTCAGCAAAATCCCTGGACACCACCCCAAAATACAGCCCATAAAACAAGAGCAGCAGCCCAAAGTCCATGGCCGTCTGAGGCTTGACCAACACCAGCATGTTCAGGCCAAAGATGGTGAACATGATGACCAGGTAGCCAGCAATCCCTGAGGCATAGCTCAGCTTGTACAGAAGTAGGAACCACTTGTACACCCATCTAGACAAGTTTTACAAGAAAATTTTTTATATAATTTGAGCAGCCCAGTGAAAAATGGCTTGACAATAAAAAAAGCAGACAAAAATATCTGACCCTGCAAATACTAAATCCCCCACTCAGAACCTTCTTTAAGGGTGATGTGATTTTACCTGGGGGTGGAGCCTGATAGAGGTTTCCGTGATGCTTTAAATGTCACAAATCCTGTGATGATTGAGAACAGCATCCAGAACCCACAGAAGCGCCACCAGGCAAACTTGGCACAGATGATGACAGGTATCAACCACATTCCCAGGAGTGTGGCCCTCTGAAACATTTGTTGCAGAACATTTGTTAGGGGTAGAAACATTTGTTGCAGAACATTGTTGGGGGATAGAAACATTGGTTACAGAACATATGTTGCAGAAGATTTGTTACATTGGTTACAGAACATATGTTGCAGAAGATTTGTTACATTGGTTACAGAACATATGTTGCAGAACATTTGTTGAGTGGATGTGAAAACATTGGTTACGGAACATTTGTTGGGGAATAGAAACATGTACACACCCTTGAGAGGATGCTTCTTCTCTGGGGCCACATTTATAAAGGAACTTATTTTCTATATATTTTCTATAGCATTTTGCAGGTGCAACTCCTACCTGGTATGATTTAAAATGTCTTGTTTTCCATTGAACTAGCACAATCTGAGCCACAATAAGGGTAACCAATAGGATAAGGGCCATCTCCGCATGCATTGATTCGTGCCCTTTGTGTTTCTCGTGAAGCATTTGATGTTCCACCCTAAATTTTTAACACAAAAAACATAACTATATTTAGTAATGTTTTCAGTTAAAAAATGTGAATAATCATATGAATAATAACTCAAGTCAGTTTAGATAACATTGATACATCACCAAATTTAAATGTTGTTCAAAATATTTGTAGCTTTCTAAAATGTTAAAAAAATATCATAAAATAGCTAAAATCAAAACCATAAGAATTATTTAGAAAAGTTACCTCCATCTTTCTTTTTCTGACAACTTCGACAAGTCTATACCAGACTACGGAAAGTAAAACAAAAATATTGCAAATTTTTTTAAAAAGTGATTAAACAATTTAATTTTTTGGACAAAACATATAAAAATTGAAAGGTAAAGATTTCAGCAAGATAGGGTTCTTTTTGTTTCAGTCACTAATCCCAGAATCTAGCAGACTTAAATGCAAAATGAAATAAAATTATTGTACCAAAAGTACAAATAGGAGTCAACTTTTCTTTTTAAAAAAACTGTAATGCTTGTTATATTTTTAATTATTTTTAAAATTGCAATTATTTATCAGATTGTAACAAAATGTATATTTAAATGTATTATTAAAATAATAGATATTTTGTTATTGTTTTGTTTGGACAAACTTTGTTCATAAACCAAAAGTATCATTAAATTCCCTAGGATGAATTAAATCTCCATGCTAATACCAAGTTAGCATTGTGTCACCTAATTAATGGCCAATCAAAAAGTATAGCACAAGGGTGGATCTAACTAGAAAATTCTTGTACTTTAAAAAGCACAAACATAAATTAGGATATTTAAAAACAACCCACACCCACAAGCAAGGCAGATCAAGCAGTACAACAATCAAATTAAAAAATCAAATTATCTAACAAACTGTTCTATTGTCACTTGATTTATAAGTAAGCTGATTCTATAAAACTAGGCATGCTGCCCAGCTTCGCTTAGGCTTTCGAAAACATTGAGGATTTGAATGCTTAATTAATTCGCCCGAGGGTCGGTCTACGACCTCAGGAGTTATGAAGAGGTTCCTCCGTGGACATTTTTTTTCGATTTATAGCTCATATAAGGCGCCGGTCACTCGAGGTCAGTTTTGACCCCCTCATCGTAGACTTTTCGGCCAACCGGCCCCCGTGTTCTGTCGTCCCAAGGCAAGATCCTGCCAAATTTGAAGCGCCTGCGGCGCCGGAAAGTGCCCTATCGGACACCCGACAACTTTGCTTTATATATTATAGAGATTAGCAAATTGCATAGATAAACAAAGATTTAAATAAAGTAATTAAGGCCTGAAATACTTTAGTATAGAAATGTAATGTTTGGATATATTCTGGATCTAGGTAGTGTCTACATCTGTGTAAGTCTAGTTTTTCCGTAGATCTAGATCTAGAATCCAAATAGAATTTTTTTTTTTAAGTTTAGCCCGAGCAAAATAAAAAAAATAGATTAACCAAGTTGACTTGGTGTGTCTCGAACCCGCACCATTTAAACGCGGAGAATGAAAGACGTATTTTAAAATCTTAACTTACGCGAATATGCCTATTCTTTCAAATTGATTTTTTTTATCCCAAATTAGCCAGTTCCAAACAAAGATTTTTTATAAAATAATTAAGTCCTGGAATAGATTCTAGAGAAGTTAGAGTCTAAATCTAGATCTTATCGTCTACGTCTAGTTATTGCGTAGATTTAGATCTAGTCTAGGTTTAGAATCTCTGGATCTAGAATCCAATTGAATAACATAAACTTTATGAGTTTAGGCCGGAAAAATTGTATTGTATACATTTCATAGTGTACGAAGATCTAAATCAAATTTGAATGAGGAAAAATTGTATTGTATACATTTCATAGTGTACGTAGATCTAAATCAAATTTGAATGAAATAGTTCATTTCTTTTTATTCTAAACACGGCAGATGACGTCATTAGTTAATGTATAAACATTAGTGACGTCACAGTTTTAAGCGTTCTTTTTCACATCTATAAATGCTTTTCCTGTTGCATAAATAAAATTGTTTTTCTACATTTGAATACGCCTTTATTTTATATTTTTCTTCTTTAAATAAAATTGTGGTTATACATTTAAAACATCTAACATATTATTTTCAACAAAAGTCCTTATAAAGTTCTCCATATATCGCTGCCGTTTCTGACGTGATGTCCGGCAAAAATATTTTGCGGACAGACAGAGAGAGAGAGAGAGAAAAAAGCGCACGTGGCCTTTTATATATTAGGATGTTTAAAAAGCAAGTGCACCTGAAAAAATATCTACAGTAAAAAGGTATGTATGGTATATACAGAAGCAAAGTAAAAGATAAATAAGTTGTTATAGTTTACTGTGCAAAACAAAGACCAGCAAATAATGAAGATAAAGCTCTAGAAAAAATATGCTTCAGTGTATCTTTTAATGCAAAGAAAGGATATATCAAAAGAAAGTTAACATATTTTTATCTGAAATTAATTTCTCCACACTGGATAGATCATTTAAAAATAGCACACACACATTTACAATGTGATTCAGTGGTAATTTAATCATGAAAGAAAACAACTGCATAATCCAAATTTAACTGTCAAGGTACCCCAAAAGTTTTGTTTAAACTAAGTGAAAAAAATAAATAACAAAGCATAGTTCTAGTTTTAAGCACTTTAAATTTAACTTAGCTAGTATGTGTGTAATGGAAATCACTTTACGTACTAATGCGGGCAAATAAAACCAAGCTGACCAAATAAAGAGGTAGACATTTTTCAGCATCAGGTAACTATTCAAAGGAAAAATGGTCACACCTGGTAGGCAAAATGATCTCTGGGGTACCTTGGAAAGCTGAGTCTAAATTTCATCATTTTCTGTTATAACTGATCACTCAATGCATCAAGCCAACAGCAAAGTTTATATTGCCAAATTCAATACAACACAGAAACTATGGTCAATTCTCCTAGAGAAGTTGCAATAAAAATCCACAATAGAAAACAGATGAACTGAGTAAAATATACAAAATAATTCCTAAAACTGGAATTAAGCAAGAGCAGAAATGAAAGAAAAGTCTAAATACACTACACTAAATGATGGTAAAGATGAATGCAAACATATTTTTTTTTTAAACAGGGTCTGTATGTCAAGAATAGAAAACATCTGTATTTGATTGGTTTTACAAACATCCAAATATTATCCAAAACCAAAACATTCAATTTATTGCTGTAATAGATTGAGTTAATTGTGAGGTCAAGGGAACTCACTCTCTGTATTAGTATTATATTTATATTGTTATCTTGAGTGATGTCCCTTACATGTTGTTATCTATAAATAGTTCTCTCTCGCCATTTCTCTCTCTCTCTTTGCATGATGGCGTCTGTACATAATAAAGACTGTTAACAACCAACGCGGCTTCTCGTCAGTCATTACAATCCACTTCATTTGGCGACGAAGGATAAACATCTACTAGAAAGAGCACCTACTTACGCAAAAAAGAGGTTTGCTAGAGCTTATTAGCTAATTATTTCTAGAATTATGGCGCTGTATGGCCAAATAAAACAATTTGATGCGAATGATGAAATCATTCAAGATTACCTAGAGAGGTTAAGCTTTTACCTAGAAGCTAACGACGTGACGATAGAAGCCAAAAAGAGAGCTGTTTTGTTAACAGTCATAGGGCCTCAACAATTTAGGCTACTAAAAGACTTATGCGCACCAGCCAGTCTAACTACCAAGAGCTTTAACGAGCTGAGCAAATTGCTAACAGACCACCATGCGCCTACCCCATCAAAGTTTCTATGTAGAGCTAGATTTGACAGTAGGACTCGTCAACCAAACGAGTCAATAACAGAATATGTTGCTGCTTTACGTCATTTAAGTGAATTTTGTGAATTCGGCGATACGCTGTCTGACAGACTATGTGAAAAGTTTGTGACAGGTGTAAACAGCCCTGATATTCAAAGAAGGTTGCTGCTCGAGTCAGATCTAAAATTAGAAAAAGCAATACAACTTGCAACTTCATTCCAGCAGTCATCAGATGCGGTGAGATCTTTAGCACCTTCAGAGATCCATGCAGTAAACAGCAGGTTAGTCAATAAACATCAACCCCATCAGAGCATTCCAACTTATGCTAAACAGCCTGCTCGTTCAAATCCTAGATCTAAATCTAGTAATAATTATCAAAAATGTCATCGATGCAAAGGTCCCCATGCATCTCATCGGTGCAAGTTCAAGTCTGCAACTTGTTATAAGTGCAGTAAGCAAGGTCACATTGCCAAGGCCTGCTTTGCAAAGTCTTCGTCTGTTGCTAAATCTAGCCAGTCAAGACAGTACCGCAACCAAAGGCAGCACTATGTTAACTCTCACCAAGACTACCTAACCCAACCAATGAACCACTCTACCTGTGAAAATGCTCAAACTGATTCGCAGCCGGATTTCAACCTGTTCTCTGTGAAATCAATAAGTCATGCTCCCATCAATGTACAAGTTAATATCAACGGTAAGAGCATCAGCTTCCAACTTGACACTGGAGCATCACTAACAGTCATCACAAAGAAAGATTTTGACGCTGTCACAGGAGGATCAGTGTCTCTACAGCCGTGTCACAAGTGTCTAACAACATACACTGGTGACAATGTTCCGGTAATAGGAGAGTGTATGGTTCATGTAAGTTATAATGGTCAAAGTGTTAAACTTCCTCTTCTTGTGGTTGAAGGAAATGGACCGCCATTACTAGGTAGGAACTGGTTAAGTGATCTTAAGTTAAATTGGGAGAGTATTTGTTCATTGAAGAATGTAAAAGAATCTAGTCTTACTTCACTAGATAAAGTTATATCTGAAAATAAATGTGTTTTTGGTAACTCTGGATTACTAAATGATAGAACAGTGAAGTTAAGCATTAAAGATACAAATCCAAGATACTGCAAAGCTAGAGTTCCACCTTATGCAATGAGGAATAAAATTGAAAATGAGCTAAGCAGATTAGAATCTAATGGCATTATAAAGAAGGTAGACTATTCTGATTGGGCAACGCCCATTGTGCCAGTGTTAAAGAAGGATGGTTCTATAAGAATTTGTGGAGATTATAAAACCACACTGAATAAGCAAATAGAGCTAAATAGGTACCCTATACCTAACATTGAGGAAATTTCTTTGAATTTGGCAGGAGGAGACAAATTCACTGAATTAGACTTTAGTCATGCTTACACTCAACTAGAACTGCATCCAGATTCAAAAGTCTATACGACAATAAACACACATAAAGGACTCTACCAATATGAAAGACTATGTTTTGGCATATCATCCAGCCC